TAATAGAAATTTAGCTGTTGCTAAGTTTATGAGGCAGACGATCATAACTGATATGTTAGAAAATCATAAAAACCAGTTCTCGTTATCAATTGGCCAGACAAAATTACAACGAGAAAAAGACATCGTTCTCGTAACTAGCTCACATGATCGATCTTAAGAATTTCCGTAGAGGATTTTTGCAGTTGCGGAGTCCCATTATAGGTTCAAAAGTCCGCTATTCAACTAATTTAATAAGATTCTCACATAAATAAATATAATCAGATTATCAGCAAACATGAGATTCAACACAGATTTGATACATCTTTAAAGTGAAGCACCGGGAAATAAAGGTAGAATACAATGCTTGTCTTCAACAGACGTGGACATGAAATGATATATATGTATATATATATATATATATATATAACTCCGTCTGTAGCTCTTCCAGAGTTACTGCCGGTCCCATGCCCGGGTAAAGGAGGAGGGTTGGGCATGAGGTTAGCGACCCCATCCCGTAGAGAAGCTAACTCGCTAAAAAAACGCTAACCAGAAAAAATAATTCAATCTATTTAAACTCTGCCCTGGGAGTTGAAGGAATAATTATGACGCCTCATGATGAAAGCCGAAATTCTTCGGAAGTCACGAGACCGATGCACCTTCTAACAATCAGAGCAACACTCTTTATAGGTACATGGAACGTCCGGACAATGTGGGAGACAAGAAAGACCAGCGAAATAGCAATGGAAATGAGGAGATACAACTTGGCAGTACTCGGAATCAGCGAAACCCATTGGACACAAACTGGACAACAAAGGCTAGGTACAGGAGAGATGCTGCTGTACTCTGGTCATGAAGGGGAAAATGCTCTACACACTCAGGAAGTTGCTCTAATGCTGTCCAGAAAGCACGAAATGCAATTGTAGGGTGGGAATCTCATGGACCCAGGATAATCAAAGCATCATTCAGAACAAAGAAGCAAGGGATCACAATGAACGTTATCCAATGTTATGCACCCACCAATGATAGCAACGACGATGATAAAGATCAGTTCTATGAAGGGCTGCAATCAATTGTAGCAAAGTGCTCACGAAAGGACCTCACAATCCTGATGGGAGATCTAAATGCTAAAGTTGGAGTGGACAACACAGGATATGAAGATGTAATTGGACGACATGGATTAGGAGAGAGAAATGAAAATGGGGAGAGACTTGCAAACCTATGTGCTTTCAACAAATTGGTTATAGGCGGCACAATATTCCCACATAAAGCTACATGGATCTCTTGTTTCTTGGTTCTTGGTCCTAAGAAGCGTCATCACAAGGAATGGATCTCTATGGGAACCCTGGACAAAATTCAAGAAAGGAAGAACAAGAAACTAGCAATTAACAACAGCCGAACACGAGCAGAGAAAGTCAAGGCACAAGCAGACTACGCAGAAGCAAACAGGGAAGTGAAGAAAAGCATTAAAGCCGACAAGCAGAAATACATGGGAGAACTAGCAACGACGGCGGAAAAAGCTGCAAGAGAAGGGAATATGAAACAACTATATGATACAACGAAGAAATTGGCAGGGAGATATAGCAAACCAGAGAGACCAGTCAAGGACAAAGAAGGAAAGACAATCACTGAGATTCAAGAACAGAGGAAAAGATGGGCAGAATACATCGAGGAACTGCTGAATATGTGGTGTGGTCTACTTATATCCATATAAGTAGTATATGGTGTGGGTCAGACATAGAATGTATTTTGGCAGAACACCGATGAGCAAAGAACTGAAATGAAGCGCAATCGTTTGGAAAATGCATGAGCAATGGAATAAGAGAAGAAACAGTGAAGATTGAAACAATTGGTTGTTAATTTTCAAATTGACTGTTCATTGTTTGGTTATCAGAATTTACCGAGATAGTCTGTCATGTTTGCTTAAATACATTCGATTGTCCCCAGTCGTGTTCTGTTCATTACAAATAGACCAGTCCCATTGAACCCACCGAACATCGAAGCAGCACACACTGACCTTCCAATATATGTCACTTCACCAACGATCGAAGAAGTCAAGATGGCCATCAGACAAATCAAAAGTGGGAAGGCGGCAGGACCTGACAATATACCAGCAGAAGTACTGAAATCAGACATTGAAATAACTGCAAACATGCTCCATCTTCTATTCAAGAAGATTTGGGAAAAGGAACAAGTGCCAACGGACTGGAAAGAAGGATATCTCATCAAAATACCAAAGAAAGGAGATCTGAGCCTATGTGAGAACTACAGAGGTATCAGTTTGTTATCAGTACCAGGAAAAGTTTCTAACAGAGTGCTGTTGAATCGAATGAAAGACGCAGTAGACGCCGAACTTCGGGATCAACAGGCTGGATTCCGTAAGGATAGGTTGTGCACAGACCACATTGCGACACTACGGATCATCGTTGAACAATCAGTTGAGTAGAACTCATCACTATACATCAACTTCATTGACTATGAGAAGGCATTTGACAGCGTGGACAGGAGAACATTATGGAAACTTCTTTGACACTATGGAGTTCCTTAGAAGATCGTCAACATTATCCAAATCTCATACAATGAACTACAGTGCAAATTCATGCATGGAGGACAAGCTGTGGTTGTATTGTAGTGAACGACGGGCATCGGTTAGCAAAATCAATTTGTTTAATACAATAGTAAATAGTTGCTTAGTAAAACATGAAAACCATACATAAAATACATAACTTGAACATATTTTTGCGTTGTCCTTTACATACTCCATCTTTTCTCTAATTGTTATTTTGATACCTTTTCGATTTCCTTTCTGTTCTCTTCAATCTGATATTCTGGTGCCAGGTATTCCACCTCAGATTGCGACTACATACTATTTGTATCACCATAGTATAATTAAAAGTTTATCTGGTTTTCCTAATTCAATGTGTATTTATCACGTCCATTACTCCTATGGAGTGCTTTTAGTAATTTTGAAAGATCACATAAAGACTATGAGCAGTTGTTTTTTTAAAAATTTAAACTTGGTCAACGGCGGTTATGTAGTAGATAAATTCATAACAGTCTGAGTGATTTATTATGCAACATCAAAGCTCCGTAACAGGGTTCAATTTTATCTTCGAACTATAGTGAAAGCTATAAAGATTTAAGCCAAAATCCTTATTCTCTATATTCAAAGGTTGTGTTATTTTTATACTTCCTTGGCCAGAATAACAATACAGGATGAACCTTTTAATCTTAACCCGTCCTGTTTTCTTTTCCACACTTCTTTTACATCGCTTTCCTAACACTTTAGCATACACATACATTTTAGCATGTGATTTGCAACGGTTTTTATTTTAATAAATTTATTTACACAAGTTTGAAATTAATTCGTATGCCGAAATATTTGTTGATGTTTTTACTGGTACAATTACTACTTCCATAATTAAATGGTCAAAGAGTGAGTAGTGACCAATGCTAGGTATGCTAAATCCTTACTTCCTGTCGACTACCTTCAACCACGACCATTTTATGAATACAATGTCGAGGCACTTGGACTAGTATTGAGCATACTATTACATGATCGATAAAATTCGATCAGTATGAAACAAAGTTTTGACATACATGATACTGATCACTACTAGCTCAGTGATCAATCAAGTGCAAATATATATCGCAGTCTTACATTAAATTGGTCGCGACTTGAATAACTCGATGATAATGCCTCAGATTGTGAAGTTACGTGACACAAGATGAAATCCACTAAAAAGTATTATATATATATATATATATATATATATATATATATATATATATATACAATTCTATTTCGAATAACATCTAGATTTCGCAGACATCACAATACTATTTTTAGTAATTAACCTCAGAATCTAGCAGTCTACACTAAGAATATTATCCATGATACTAGTAAAATTGTTTATCAATAAAATTACAAAGCCAATTGAAGTAACATGAAAAATATAAAAATATACCTACTGAAGATTAAAAATAACTAGTCAGCATAAACATGACAGTTTTTTCCCCATCAAATCAACAACCAAAAAATGAAAGAAATAGATGAGCATTATGTTAAGAACAAATTGGAACTATATTGTAGTTGCTATAAGTGATCCATTTCAAAAAACAGAGCACTCATTCCATATACACACATAAATTACCAATCTTAAGTGTATAACAATTGTGAAGCATAATAAATAAAAAAGTGTCATTATAACATGTAAAACGTTATATATATATATATATATATATATATATATATATATATATATATATATATATATATATTCTATGATTAATGACAGATATTAAAATCATAACTACTCATTAATCAAATACACTTAAGTAGTAGAAAACAAAAAGAGAAAAGATTTGGATATGATTATTCACACAGTGTCATTTATAGAAGACAAAAAGAAAGGGTTGTATTGAAGTGAGCAATTAGTTAAAAAAATATTTTGTAGGATGAAAAAAAATAAAAAGTAAAACATTAAAATTTTCGTATGATGAATTGATTATAGATGACTGGTTATTAATTCAGACAAGGTTTTGTGGAGATTTCAGTATTTTCATAGTTGAAATCATGAGTCAATTGAAGCTAGACTACCATGGAAAACATGGAAGCACTGGACGGCCGTTTCGTCATATTATGGGACTCCTTGGTGAACGGTTGCTCAAGCATCGTGGATTGCTTGAGCCGTTGGATGCCGGCTCAGTGATCTAGCCGAGGAGTCCCATAATAGGACGAAACGGTCGTCGGTTGACCCACGATTTCAACTAGTTATTAATTGTTCATTGATAATCAAATGAAGTATTCTTTTTCTTTGTCTACTGTAGACTTAAAGTGATGGATAAAATATAGTACAATAAAGTATAGATATTTGTTATTCGGTTTAAACATAATTACCAAGATATTAGAAGGGGGTATTTGTGGAGAGGCGGGATCGTGAATGCGCACTACTGAGGAGTCCCAAAATAGAACGAAATGGCCGTCCAGTGCTTCCAGGTTTTTCCATGGTGGTCTAGCTTCAATTGACTCATGATTTCAACTATATTAAGATATTATCATTTTGTGTAATTTGATTATGGAAGACCTGTCTACATAATTTTAGGAACTATTTATGTATTGTTATTATATATATATCCTTATTATATAACTAATAGATATCTAGATCATATGTATTCATATGTCTCTCACTACAAGCTTTCATTTGACCTATTAGCTACTATCATACGATTTATTATTCTTACGTTGTCCTCAATCTATTAGTTACAGTATCTCACATCCACAGCCACTTTTGGCTTGGTCTTGAATAATTGTTAATTTCTATTTCGTAGTATGACGCGGTCTGGTTTGCTTGCATGTAAGCAAAGTATGTCTGAAATATATGATTTATACAATGGAAGCTGAGATCGTGTTCTGGACTCAACAGGCACGGCAAGGCAGAGGAATCAATAAGGACTTGGAGTTGACTTTAGGCTGCTCGTGTTAGTTAACACGCCATTGGTTTGGCACAGTGTGTAGGTCATATAAATCGGTGTTCTAATTGATGATTTGATCACGTGGCATTTGACATAGTAAATTTTATGTAAGAATATATAGAAAAAGGAAACACTGGAATTTTGAACATATTTTTACGCAGAATAATGAATTAATCGATGTGTTTTCAATGGACAGGAGAGTATACCGTAACTGTAAGTAGAGTATTGGAATTAACAAGTTTGTTTCAGTGACTAAATAAGAATGTTCAGCTGATGATATGCGATGACTAACTTGTCAATAAAACTTACGTTTTCAACAGAATGAGCTACTACTTATAAAGATTGTCTAAAGGTAAGTGGAGCTTATCAATCGCATTTTGGCAATTGTTGACTAAAATCTAATCCACATGTTAAACGTATAGGCAGTAGATAATAAACTATACAAGATAAAAGCCTCATGTTTACAAAATGCTTGAATACCATGATGTACTTTGGTAATGCGTTAAAAAAATAGTAAAGTCAAACGTGTCTGGCAATAGCATCGTTATTTAGACAGATTTTCTGTGCTTTAGGAAATAATAAAATCCACCACTGTGCATGGTTTATAGTATCTGGGTAACTGAAAACTCGGAAATGAACAACTAAAGTGGATAATTCAAAAAAATAGTAACGTACTTTGATAAGAATTACATCAAAAATAATATAAACTGGTTAAAACTTGTCAAATTGAATTACAAACCCAACAAACCAAAACACATTGAAAGTTGAACACGCACTGAAACATCGGTTAGTTTGATGGAAAATCATAAACTTGGATTACTTGAATGACAAATATCTTCAAAAATCCTTTGGATATTGATGAAGATCGTTAGCGACCACTACTTTCTTCACCTTTAACATGATATTCACGAATATTTAAATTGACTATATATCAATCTATTCATGAAAATTATCAAAGTTCATTATACCACCCACTTATCACATGACACAAGTAAATTCATCACAGTTACGTGATAAGTCATACATACAAGTTTGTTATTTTGTTGATGTTGTTTTGATGAAACTAATTGCTTTTTGATTGTTGCACTCCTGACGTCATAATGCGTGGTCTACTTTATCATCAAACATGCACCAACTTCATTTTTATATAAGCTCATAATTTGATTCCATCATTGCTTAATCCGTTAATCGTCAAGCCTTTTAGTAAATCTTGTTATCAATTAATGACTTGAAATTCAAAATTAGTGCCTGTCGGCTAAGTGTAATCATTAGGAAGCTTGGGACTCCTTTCAAAAATTTTGATCCACGAAAGTTGTATCATTGATATTAACCTAGTCAGATAATGACAGGTGAGCAGCAGTCCAAGATATCACTGGTCAATGATCAAAGCCTAGAAAAACCTGATGCATAACCGAAGTTACTTAATAATTAAACCAATAACTATTACGTTATACACTGCGAACAGTATAAAAACTATTAAAAATCATGCGTACACCATCTTCATCACTACTCTTGATATGTAGATGTAGTTAGTTTACCTAAAATCCTGTATAGGTAGAAAAATATTTATAAATTGCTGAACAGCTAATTGTTTACTAAGGTACAATTCATGCCAATTTGTTTGGTCTTTGCTGATGATTCAATTTATGAGATGCATACTTCCGATTTTTATACTTGTCGAAAAAAACTTATGATATATCTGCAACTTTATAGAATCTAAGTTCTGTAAGTTCAGTCTACTAACATTAATATTGAGTAAGTGCAAGTTCCTTAGACATTATTTGAGATGTTCGACTTTGGATAATGTTATATACTAGGGAACAAGTAAGTACGGATAACTTGCAAAACCTATTATTGGACTATTATTCTTGTTGTATAACTAGATTATCTATCTCTATATTCATATTATTGTAAGCTTCAATTTGACCTATTCATTATTATTATTATTATATGATTTACTCTTTCTAAGTTATACTCAGTTTATTGTCTCCCACGCTTGCATTCACATTCGGCTTGGTTTTGTACAAATATTATTTTCTATTTTATAGTGTGATGTGGTCTGCCTGTTTGATATATAAACAAAGTATGCTTGAAACAAACGATTCATATTGCCGAGGCTGTTATTGGTGTTCTGGACTCAAGTGGACGGTCTAGGTCGATTAAGGACGCGAGTTTACTCATACTGATTAAACGTCCTTGATTGTCACAGTGTTAAGGCCGTATTCTATTGGCGGATAATTCACGCGAGTTACGTTTTTGTTTAATTTGTAAGGTTAAAACAAATAAGCGACGACCTTGAGCAAGTCATAGTAATTGGCTACAACCTTGATCAAGACATAACAATTGGCGACGGCTAGGTCAAGACATAACAGATAACCTTAAAAAATTACCTCGTAAAAATACAACAAGTGCAATGTGAGTATCAGTGGAATGTAGGACACTTCAGTGGGATGTACCTGCACCTAATAGTATATTCAGATGAGTCCAAAGTATGATAGAACGCGACAAATTCCACCTATTCTATATCATCTTGTGTCACAATAGTTATAACGAGGCAACCTGCACAGGATGCCCATATACTAAACAAGATGGATCAAATTTCAGTCAAAAAATATGAACAACGATATAATTCAAAGCATTTCAAATAGAACTATATATTGTAAACAGGTGTGTATAACAAAATCCCTTTGTCGTACGCTCCATTTGAACAGGTTTAACCAATAAATTGATTATTTGATTACAGTGAAACATAATAAAATTACGGCAACTAAGTTGAGACAACCAATTCACATTATCTGCACAGTTTTATCCCATGGACAAAAAATGTTATCCAATCACTCGTAATACATCAAACGTTTACCTGAATTTCGGAGTTTGATTTGCAAAGGTAGAGATTTGCGATCAATTAATCAATAAACTTGTTACTGTGGACAACGTAGTTTGAGAATTAATTATTATTTATCAGGACTGAAGCCCTATTTGACATAAGTAGCATTTTGAAATATGATGTTCTACATTGAAACAAATATGTGAGCGAATATAAGTAAAACTGTAAGTTAAAATAGATCACACAGAGGACAAGTACCAATCAAAGTACTGGCAACAATTCCTACTCGTAATTTACACAAATCGATGTGTTTTAATCGAATCTTAGACTTATATAATCGAGTTAGGCGATAACCAGACTCTGAGTGAAACACCAACTTGAAGTTCAAAACAAACGAATCCTATGAAAAAAAAGTTATGTATTTCCAAACAAATAACAAGGAGTAATATTATTTCACAGTTGATCATTCGTAATATTGATAAGATAAAAACAAGGTTTTAGTAGAGAAATTAAATATAATGTAAAAAATAAGTGGAAATATGGGAAATAAACTTTTTTGGTTGAAAGTGTTTACTATCAAGGAATTTTTTTTATAAAACTAAGGATAAATAAACAATGATTAAAATATTCAGAGTTTATGATCAATTAAATTGTTCGAAATTTCAATTCCTTCACATTCACAAAACGCTGACGTTAAAAAAGTACGGTGACAGTTAGAGTACAATTAATTTCAAATACAGGAACTTCATACTGTCCACATAACTGATGAGGACAATAAAGGATGAATTGTCAATGATTATCATAATTCCTTTCCATATATTACCCCCAATAACTTTATCAACACTATTAGACGCACATTTAAATCGTAAATAAGTAACACATTTAGTAGGAGACAACAGCTAAATGAATTATTAATAGTATCAAGTATAGTAACTAGTCATGCAAGCTGATGATGGTAACTAAATAAATACAATTCAAATTCAATAAATGTAGTTTTTATTCGATTAAGCTGTTTCAAGATAGTTAATTAGAGGTTATTTAGTATGATGAATTGATATACAACGATTATTTAGTAGATGTCAGCACAACAACTTTCCCTGTCTATTTTTATTAAATCAAAGTGGATTACAGCAGTTATTCTTCTGGATACAAGTTACACGGTTGTTCAGAATAAATATATGCAGCAATATCAGTGTAATTCAGTACTATTTATTTTATCTTTGTCTAGTGACACTTAAGTACGTTAACAATCCACGTAAACAAACAAGTACATCTATCAATACCATACGGACCTTGAAGACTGTAAGGCTTCCCATTAACAAGAAATAAGCTATTATTAATCAACAATCAGTCAACCAAACACATTACATTCCAGTGCATGTTTTGCGATAGAATCCGGTGTTCATCTTGTTGTGTTAACGAGATATGGCAACTTGAACCGATGCATATATGTGCCTGGATCTACGTTGTAGCTGACTGACTTTGCGATAGAACATTTTTTTTAAATGACTCTTGAGATCAAATCATTTATAAACATTTACGAAGCAAGATTCATCAATCACATGCACGTATGGCATTGTGTTTATGGCACGTAAATATCAGTAACTTCCTGTAAACCCGTTTACATTCTGTCGAGACTGAGTAAAATTGGCTGACTTACATTTAAAGAAAATACAACTTCAGAAAATTAGACTTGTTTTTTATTCAACTTTTTGGTGGATATATTTTGGTTCTTCTCACCGACTTAACTGATTGAATCCTTCTCATATTTTTTGCTGGTTGATTCTTCTAAATAAATATTGGGATTTTGAATTTTTTTGCTACAATCTGTGGCGTATTTCAGCTTGAAATTCAGTTATAGCAGATCGAATAAATTGACGACACACCGACGTAACTTCGCACCAACTCTTAAAACAATCAATTTTAAGAACGCCTACAAGCATTATTAAAATGAAGTTAACATGTAGGCAGTTGGTTAGCAAGTAAATTGAACGAAATGAAGTTCTGGGTTTTGTTTACACATTTGCAATCAGGATTCTATGAATGCTCACTTTGTAAGATAATCACACTTTTGAGACTGAATCAACAAGATACATTTTTCACAACTTGAAAGCCAGACAAAATGTAGTTACAAAAAAAGTATTTAAATATGATTTATTTTCAGATGAGTCTTGAGAACGTTAACACCGGAAAGTTGCACATGATATGGGTGCATTAAAAAGTGATATACATTTGAAAACTATCCAGAGATTAGAAATCTTGTAGTTTGTTACATCAGATGTAATAAACGCGGCTGATGGGAGGGGGGTAAAACAATTAAACCTCAGTGATTTCAACACGTTATTAATAAACACAGAAGTTGTTGCAGAAATAATTTTTGTTACATGGTAAGAAGTAGAAAGCGTTCACATCACTCAAGAGGTTTGCTAAGATACCGAAGAATCAGACGAAAATAACACCAAATTAAAAAAGGACTCAGTTGGAGTTGCTCGTTTCAAAATGTACGCATTTTATCTGATTAAATGCCATTTATTACGACAGATTTAAACCGATATTTACAATGAAATAATGACAGAGAATAGTCAACAAATATTCAGAGAATATTTACAAAGAGAATGCTAACCGACTTTAATGCTTGTACAAATTTCGAAATGACCTCAATATTCAACACAAGCAATATATATGACTTTTGCCGGAAGTTATGAAAGTTAACCCAGTTTATTATACGTTTTGTTCTAGTGTTTACAAGGATTGTATTCTTTTACTCTAACAAAAGTCCCAGGAATTCAAAAGTGTGCTACTCCAATTCAGCATTTTACTATTTTTATGATCCTTTATTTTAATATATATATAATAGTACTATTGTTGTGGAAAGCAGTAATTTGGGTACATGTAGCTGCTTTGGTGACTGCAGTTCGATGGATTGATATGAGGTACAAAATTGCTGTGATTAAATGAGCCCCATTCTTTTAAAAACCTTTTATTTTAATGCAGAATCCGTTACTTAATTCTTTAGCTGAATCATTTTTTAGAGAATATTTAACAAAAACAGCGAAAATCATTATATGAGCGCTTTTAAAGCTAATTGACGGGAATGTGTATAAAGAAATCTCAATAATCGAAGGTTGAAATGGACTAGTTTCCACGCTATGAGGCTTATATTACTGGTAGAATTTCGATAATCTTTCGATGAAAAACCCGATTCTTAAGAATGAAAATGACTTTGTATAGTGATAATCCATGAAGGCTGACACACGCAAACATGGTAAGTTCATCACTATAAATTCTGGAGAACATATGCAGGTCGTATTCCGAATTCATGATTTATTCAATTCCGATTTCCTGGAGTTTAGTAAGGATTTTGATTATTATCTCTGCATTTGTGATAGATTATTCTTGTTGAATGTCCGTTTTTCTTGAAGAAGAGCACTAAATCAATAGTCCTAATATTTTATTGATGTAAGTAATTTAAGAACGACTGTTGCATGTGTAGAGTAACACATCTGATGGAAAAGTGCCGTTGAGCACACACAAATTAAGATTTCTAAAAGACTTATATTATTTAAGTTCAGCTTAGAGAGATGTTAGGCAATATTCATGGATAACCATAACTGAAAAGCACAATGGGATCCAGAAAACATTAGGAAACAAACAAACGTGAAGACGCAGTTATGTAAAAAACGGTATATATACATGAAAAGCAGCCGTAAGAATAGTTACGCGGTAGTAGTCGAAGTGGGATCGACGATTATCTTAGACAGTGGACAACTTCTAAGTGCATACTAAGTTAGAACCCGTATGCGGAAAAACTGGAAACTTCCCGAATATTTCATATCTTCATCCATCGTTCATGCAATTATATTATATCGATATATCCATGAATCCATAGTGTTATTTGTTTTCTCAGTAACATGTAAAAATCCAAATCCCACTCTCCAATGTACATCTAGGAAATTTCATGAGATTAATCGATTTATTCTAATACTATTTCACTCTTTTTTTTCCAATATACTATTCATTAAAAGTAGTGAGAAAAGAGGAGAAAACTCAACTTCATTTGATTAGATACTTGGTATTGAGCCACTCTTGTTCTTCATAAACGTAGTAAACACTGTAGCTAACGCGTAAAACAGTTCTTAAATAATGAAAGACGACGTACACGTTTACTGTCCCAATGAAATTGAATTACACAATCAAATTAACTGAAAACCAACAACATAATGGAAAGCAGTAGTGATATTCAGCCAGTTTTCACGTAAATACAATAAGTCTATTTTTTAAAGATACAGTGGTATAAATTTAAATGCATTTTGCTATCAGTGTGTTGTAGAGCTGTAGTTCATAGACGCAAACTCATTTTTAGGTTGGCGTCGCATGTTATACGCATTACGAATCACATTAGAACGTGGTTGACGAGAACGACTTTGTTGGACACCATTGTTTGTTCTCACTATGCGACTACGGCTATTTGAATTGTATGCTAACGAATTACGAGGTCGGCTGTTTTCCTCTGGGGACTGATGGTAACGATCGGGTCGCTCACCAGTTGGACGTCGAGATACTCTTTGAGAAGGACGTGATCTGGAACTTCTATCCCCGTACGTAGATCTCTGGTGCTCTGCAAAGTTCGACCGGCGTCCAGATACGCCATGATTTAGTCTAAAAGAATAATTTCAGAATACTTGCGTCGATATGTCCCAAATATAGAAAAATTCTAGACTGGTAATGTTTAAAATGACTGAGAAAGGCAATTTAGAGATTAGGAAAAACGAATACACGTCTTAAAAATTGAGTTTCTAAAACCAATCATACAAACTCGATGGTAAATAATAATAAACTGTACCGTACTATGCATACTTGTGACTTTTGCATAAGCATATCATGCAAAACGGGAATACCGAGAAAATTAATACTAGTGGATTTCCCTAACTGGACCTAAAAAATGTTTATCCAGAGCTCACAAGTTTGATGGGTTAAGTGCGTGATGTAAATTTTTAATAAATATTTTTAATAACTATCCTAATGAAACTATCGATCAATAATCGAGGCAGTACGTTTTTAACTACTGAATGAGGAGTTTGATTCCTGTTAAATTCAAGTTGATAATAGTTGAGAGGTGCACACTGAATTTAACTGAAAAATTAGTATACGAACGTGAACACGAATACTAGACGAACAATAATATCAGCCTATTATTAACTTAATAATGGCAATGTGTTCAGTGAACCGATTTACCTGAAATTTTCTAGCATAATGAAAGTTATTTTTGTGTTGAATTCCCTATCAAGTATGGAGCTTTGAAAAAAACCATGAGGTTTGTTTAAAAGTACTTTTTACGCTAGATGATTCAAAATTCCGCACAAGGACAATGCTTAGGATATGTAGTTACGTTCTCTGATGTAACAATATCGCAAGATGAAAGAACTGCATTCTTGTTTATGCTGTCAATTATAGAACTCTTCCAAGTCACATTCTTGAATTCGCAAGCAATAAGAAGGCAATAGAAAAATGACTCAGTGACAACAGCTTCTAGTAATTGTTTCCCGTATCCAAAAGATCTTTAGTAAAACAACCGCAGGAAGTTTTTTCAACTACCTGACAACTACAATAACGATGAGATAAAATGGCCTTAGTTATGAATGAAAGTCCATGTTCAGTGAGATTTAAAAACACTATCAGCGTGAAAAGCAATGAAACATATTTTTAACTCTGATATACAGCAAAAATTCGGCGTTCTGTCCTGTTTAAGTTTTGAACGATAGCACTGAAGACATTTTTAAAATGTTGCATATAGGATCCAGTTTCATTTCATTCATGTTGAGTAACTATTGGATTCTGAAAATTTGAGTTGTATATGTTGTCACCACACTAGCACGTGTAAGATCCTCCAGTTTTTTATCTTGCTTTTTCCTCAGTTATATGTTATAAATTAGAAAGTTGGCCATTACGCTTAAAATAATTGCTGAGGTAAGACTTGCTATCTCCTGGATATTAAGAATTGTTGGAAGTAGAACTGACTTCCCATGTTCAATCAGAACATGTCAAAACTCCACATAAGGTATAGCGTCTTTCCTTTTGGTAAATGTTGAAGTAGAAAATCGCCATATGTAGACTTACTGAGAACGAAACATAACCCAGCATTCGGTGACTGTATCATAGGCTGAAGACTAAGTACATGGAACATGCAGGAATGAAATGTTAACTAAGTATTGAAGATAATACAAGAGATGTTTAATGTGATATTATTAGTCACATGCTTGGCTTCGCGTTACGACACCAACCGAAAATTTGAAGACTAGTTATAGGATAATTTTAAAGGGCATTGAGTTGTATGCAGAAGTTTAGTATCTCTTTACGTTGACTATTAATTGTTGAGGACTTTGGGTGATGTGGCTCAGATGAATTCATGTTGATTTTTTGTCGATCTTGAGTCCCAGTGTTGCTTCATACATACCTTTCCATTTTGTCTTTTCATATAGTATTCTCAGGATTTAGTTTTTCGCATTATAATTTCTACTAAATTATTTTGATTCTTTTGCTATTTAGCTTGTTAATTTCAACTTTAATCTACATTTGTGCCCAACTCGACATTAATTATGACTGACTGACAAAGCTATTCCGTAGTATACAACAGTATCAACTTCTACAGAGTTGTTCATCAAATGAGATTGTTTAAACGTTTTATACTTCATGTATTCAGCTTGTTAATCATCTCACAGTAATCATCCTTGTAAAAGTCGTTAAAATAAAATATTGAGTAGACTAGCATACATATTGTTGAGTTTAATATATCACTAGGCCTTATCCATTCGATTCATTTAAGAACCATGTTATGACAACTTACATAGATTCACAGGTGTGACAAGTTTAACAGAGATCATGTCTGACTGACTTAAGTTGTCGCACCATTGTACTATATACATGCATAAATAAACGATAAGTTCCATAAATCTTGCTATTTTAATTTGTTTTGAAGTAAATTCAAACTAGTCAACATGAATGTTGGTTAAGTAATCTGTACATAAGATTTCGACTAGTATGATTAGGTCTTGAAGAAAAACTTATTCATTACAACGATCAAGACATGAAGTCAATAGTCGTTGATAAAAAATTTGTGTACGGAAGTTTGAGTATTCCATGTGAGATTGTTGAGACATTGGAAATCAATTGATGAAAAAAAAATTCATCAACAAAGATTATTGACAAAAATTGTATTGCCTTGTCTTAATATCAATGGTGTGTCATTACATTGTTTCCTTATACTTGAATCTTCTTAACACACAGAAAGATGATATTTTTTGTGTCATATCCGAATGATTTTTTTTTGTTTTTGCATTTCTTTTTTTGTAGGGTTATTATGGAATGTTGAGTCGACGAACTTCTGTGTTGGAATTTTAACTTTTCTCTCTACATGTTGTTTTTTGATAACATTGTGTTGAAATTTGGAAAGGACATTGGATACACAGTAACAACACACTGGATATAATGAAACGATGTTTAAGATCAAGATGAATACATTAGAAATAGTTAGTTTTTGCATCCTTCATTCAGTAATCTTTATTTGGATATTTTAAAGTTTTCTGTTTGTATTTTTTGATAAACTATCAGTATGAGTACAGTACTCCATATGTATCTTCAAAATGCATGAAGAAAGAAATATAAACACCTTTTATATGTGAAAAGATAGGTACTTCATTTACCAACAGATAGACAACTGTCGATTAGCTGAAGTTATTCCCATATCCAAAGCTGAAACTAAACTCTGGTTTTTAGTTGTTATTATCAATGTCAGTAAACAAGAGAGCTAGCGAAGTACAAAAGTGAAACGGGGTGCAAATGCACGAAAACAAAAAGAATACGCAAACCACAGGTTACAATATATACATGAATGATATTTAAGTCATCCTTATTATACTATGAAAATTTACCGTTTTTCTTTGCCCATATATATTCCAGGTGTAGGATTGTGTGGTCGCTCAGTGTAGCTGTAATCAATGCGAACAATACGATCATGTAGTTCCAAGCCTCGAGCGCATGCAGCGCGCGCTGCACGAGCACATTCAATAGACCGAAAATATATAAATGCGAAACCACGTGAACGCCCTGTTAATAGACAATTAAAAGCATGAAGAAACATGAAATAGCATAAGAACAACATTCCTATCCAGGTGATTAAAACAAATCTTGGCAACGGTGGAAACTATTGTGAAGATGGTAAACAACGTGTACATAAATACTTTTGTTCAAAAAACAACAGAGAAACGTTTTCACAACTGTTTACGTAGGATGGGCAATTAGTGTTTGGCAGCTAATATTAATCAAATACTCGATAAAAAAAAAAACTAACTATCCAAAAACTAGTTAACAAACACCGAAATTTGGTAATGAAATTACTTATTCACGCCTGTTACTCCCAATGGAGAATAGGCCGCCGACCAGTATTCTCCAACCCATAATGTCTTGAACCCTCCTTTCTAGATCTATCCAACTTTCGTTCTTTCTTCACATGTCTGTCTTCATTTCTCGACGTAATGTGTTCGTTGGTCTTCCTCTTCGCCTTTGACCTTCAGGATTCTATGTGAGGGCTTGCCTTGTGACACAGTTAGCTGCTTTCCTCAATGTGTGTCCCATCCACTTTAAGCACTTCTTCCTGATTTCTTCGTCCACTGGAATCTAGTTTGTTCTCTCCCAGAGTAGATTGTTGCTAATAGTGTCCGAAATATCTTGCGTGGACAACTGTTAATAAACACCTGTATCTTCTGGATGATGGCTTTCGTAGTTATCCGAGTTTCCGCCCCATACAGTAGAACTGTCTTGACATTTGAATTGATGTGTTGGCTGACAATTGTTTTGAGTTCCAGATGTTCTTCAATTGTAAATATGTTGCTCTTGCTTTCCGATCCGCGCCTTTACATCTGCATCAGATCCACCGTGTTTATCAATGATGCTGCCCAGATGTGTAAATGTTTTCACATCCTCCAGTTGAAATGAAATGTCACTTATCATACTTATTTTGTTTCTATTCATTTAACACAGATATTGTGGTACAACTGGGCACAAAATAGTATGCGCTATACTTCAATCTAACTATAAGATTGAAATACCTTGTATACACCATACTAACGAACTAAACAGATTAATTTACTTCGACTTACCAGATAAATTATCTTGAACAAGTTTTATTTCCTCTATTTCGCCGTATTTTTTCATTATGTCGTACAAATGCCGTTCCTCGGTGCGCATGGACAATCCAAAAGCACCAAGTACACGAGATGGTTTGGGAGGAGATGATTCGACTCGACTATCCATTTTACTACGTTTTCTCGGGACAGGACTAGTGTTTGAATCACGACTGTACCGCGGGTCTTGGCGAAACTTCTCCATATCATGTTTACTACGTCGAAGTTCTTTACTGGGGGAAACATATTCCTTGTTTGGATTGTAGTAGTCATATTCCCTATCTTTTAAGTCATTTTCGAAAGGCATTCGTGACTGGAATGGAACATCCCGATAGCGTTTTCTTGAAACAGAGTTTTCATATCTAAAACGATAAAAAAAATAATACATCATAAACCCTATTCTATATTAAGTAGCTAAAGCATCCTAATCAACGATAAGATTAAATAATTCTTTCAGAAGTATCGACATTTTCCAAATAATCTCGGTTTGAAAGGGCGAATTTAGTGAAATCTACGGTAGGATAAAGCTAACTCATGTATTGAACACAAATTATGGAAGATATTTAATAGAGTTACTAAAGAGCTCAACAAAGTATGCAGACCATAGCTAACGAATCCACATATGAAAAGTACATTTTATAAACATCACCTAAATATATATTCATATCTGAGATCAACAAAACAACACGTACAAAAATACGCAACTCAGCAGTTGTTAACAAACACATGTACTAGACCATGGATCATATCCATTATCTAAGTTCCGATGGTATTTCCCAGTCGTCCAGACATCCGTTAAAATATTAGTCATTAAAAACAAGATCTATGATACAACGTAAATTAGACTTTAGAATTCGATTTTTCCGCTTGCTCGATCTGAGTTTCATTCAAAAGAGTTAATGATTACTGTGTGAAGTGAGACAAAATTAAGACTGAGTTGGCTTTAACACAAAAATTTACGTTGTCTTGGAGAAAGTTCAGTTAGATCTATAACTGGTACATCAGAGAAAAAAGTCTTCGACCGAAACTTAGTAGACTTAATTAAAGAACCACAATAATAGCAAAACAAATACATTGCCTGTAGACCACAAATTTCGTTAATTTCTTACCCAGCTGCTGAGGTTATTAATAATTTGAATAGAAATAATTCAACAATTATATTTAAGTTTCTATACAATACTACGAGCTACATCGATCATGATTGCAATACACCGGATATACAAACTTTTTCTAGTGTGGTATACAAATTTACGACGCTGGTTGATGGCCGTATCCGAACCAATAAAAGCCACAAATCCACATACTTTATAAAACAATGCAGTTTCAAGTATTTTCCCCCAAATGCCCTGGTATGGTCGAGAGTGGGGAGAGTCCGCTCTCCCTCTCGAAATACTCTCACATGGCCACTCGTAATATAGCCTCTGCCAGGGAAGTCCTACTCACTGCCTACTCGTGGCATTACTGTTGTTTACGAAATTGAGAGGACGAAAAGTGAATGTCCGGTGCTTTAACCGGGTTTGTGGACACGGATAGTTGGAAAACCCTGATTTCAAACCAATGGTGCACATGATCTCCAGTATCTTGAGGGAACAAATGGCGTATGAACCAATCCTTGGTCGCCGGCTACCATGGGAATGCATCGCCTCACAATACTCCACTGCCTTGTGGATCAGACCTTTAGGTCAAATGCTCCGAGTGTGGCCCCTTGAGAAAACCACCTGCTTCAGTTTTGGCACCTCAGCAGTATCACAGCCCTCACACAAATCAAATCCCGACTGTTGCTGCTACCTTGACGTGGTGGTCGGGCTTGCCTATCGTGATGATCCAATCGACCTATGTTGGCTAGAACAATCGTTCCTCAAGGTCCTACCATGCCAGACAGGTCGGTTGAAAAGCGGTGAGACTAAAAGCAGCAATCCCAAGGTCCGAAGGCGAAGTCGTACTGCTGACTGTACAGAGGTGTGAAAGCAGTAAGGTGTTTCCTTCAGACAACCAGCATGACAGCGATGCTGCCTTCCCACAAGGAGGGGTGGGGTTAGAAAAGGTCGACCCTAAAAATGCACACCTCGCCTTATCCCACGGATTTCCGTCCCCGGCTGTAAGGACTTTTGAAGAACGGAGCTAACACATCAAAAATCCCCCACAAAAAGGCCGTGCATGACCGGCCTCAAGCAGATGTCCCTTGGGCACTGCAGTCACGCTCCCAGGTCGTTAAGACCAACACTAATCCAACTTCTTTTTCAGGTCCCTCAAGAAATACCCTTCCACGGTGTGGGCAGCCGGGAAGTGATACTAGCCCTCATTCCCTTACTCGAGACCAAGTTGGTCGCTTTCAAATCCTTCCTACACCTAATAACTCTGTTATCTCCACGACTAACCCTTCCCACGTCCTTTTATCAACTTGCACCGCTAGAGCAAACGATTCGAGTACACAGAACGTTATTCCTGGTCTCCTGAAACCACGCTCTAAACTACATATAGGAACTTTTAATGTCCGAACATTGTGCCAAATAGGACAACATGCTTCCTTAGCTAGGACTCTAGAATCTTACACCATCGATGTGTGCTACGTCTCCGAAACGCACATACAATATCCGAGTAGTGTCATTCATTTGACCTCACCTAATCAAAATAAAGTTTCATCTCGATACACGCTCCGTGTATCTGGAAGCCGTGATACTGCTTCCCGTGGCCTCGCTGGAGTAGGTATAGCATTAAGTCCTAGGGCAGAACTAGCTCTTTTAGACTGGATCCCAGTAGACAGTCGTCCATGCGCTGTCCGACTAAACGGATCAGTAAGGACCCGGAAAGATAGGGAAACTCGTCGTTGCCTCTTCGTCGTCTCTGCCTACTCTCCCACTGACTGCAGCTCAGACGATATAAAAGATGAGTTCTACAGGAAACTTTCTGACCTTCTCCGAGAAGCTAGGCGTTCTGATGTAGTAATAATAGCAGGTGAATTTAATGCTCAAGTAGGTAAACTAAGTGAAAGGGAAAGACACCTGGGTGGATCTTATGGTGTCATGGCGAAAAGAACAGATAATGGCGACCGTCTGTTGCAGCTATGCTCAGATAACCGCCTATTTCTTGCAAATACTAACTTTAAGCATGAGGAAAAACATCTTTTGACATGGCGACCCCCGAATTCGTCCCAACGTTGGACCCAATTAGATCACATCGCTATCAGCCACCGATGGAGGGGCTCGATAGAAGACTGTCGCTCATTCTGGGGCACATGTTTAGATTCAGATCATGCTCTAGTGCGAGCACGTATCTGTCTGCGTCTTACTGGTCGTAGGAAAGACGCTGCAGGGAAGCCTCTAAGGGTCCTACTTAATGATAGGCAAGCTAAGAATATATTTCAGGAACAACTGGAAAAACAGTTAGGCAGCCATGCAAGTTGTGTCCACCCCGAGGCAGCGTGGAATGACATCCGAAAAGCTGTAGAAACAGCAGTGATATCCGCTAGTAAGGTAAACCATAACGTTAGGGAGAAACAATGGATCTCGGCAGCATCTACCACACTGATAGATGCTCGTAAACTCATCCCACCTGGCTCTGAGCATAACGAAGAGCGGAGTCAACTTAAGCGCAGGCTTATAAGAAGCCTACGCAATAATCGTGAACAGTGGTGGGTAGCGAAAGCAAGAGAGATGTAAAAAGGCAGCGGCAACAGGTAACAGCAGACAGCTATTAAGACTTATTAAAGAAACCGGTATTAGGAACCCAACTATTAGCGAAACTATCTCAGACAAAGATGGGCATATCATACATTCTCAATCCAGGAGATTGGATCGATGGGCAGAACACTTTAGGGATCAGTTCAACTGGCCTTCAGCCACACTTTAATTACCCACGATCCCCAGTCATCCTGAATGGCAAATTGATGTAAGTCCTCCAACCCTCTGCGAGGTTGAAAAAGCTATAGGAAATCTAAAGCGAGGGAGAGCAGCAGGCCCTGACAGGTTGTCCCCTGAGATTTTTAAGGATGGTGGTTCAGTACTAGCAGTGAAATTGACTGAGGTCTTAGGTAGAATCTGGGAACTGGACGTAATTCCATCTGACTGGTCCCAATCACTGATTGTGCCAGTCTATAAGAAAGGACAAAAGTCCTCTTGTGACAATCACAGAGGGATCAGCTTGACTAACAGTGTTTAAAATATTAGCTTCAATAATACTAGGTCGCCTTACCAAAGCTCGTGAAGAGCAGACTAGAGAAAACCAGGCTGGTTTTCGACCTGGACGTGGTTGCATAGACCAGATATTCACCCTACGTCAGGTTCTAGAACATAGACACAAATTCAGACGTCCCACAATAGTAGTATTTCTTGACCTTAAGGCGGCATTTGACTCCGTTGATCGTGAGTTTCTATGGCAGTGTTTGTCACTGAAAGGAGTACCAAAGAAGTACATTAACCTCATAAAGGCTCTCTACTCGAACACAACTGGTCGAGTTAGAGCCTATGGCGAACTGTCATCAGAACTGATTACCACAAGTGGCGTTCGTCAGGGCTGTCCACTCTCCCCATTCTTGTTTAACTTTGTCATTGACATACTTTTAGAGATAGCACTTTCATCAGCTAAACCTCCAGGAGTTGAACTTTTACCAGGAGGCTCAAATGTTGACTTAGAATACGCCGACGACATAGTTTTACTCGGTGAAGACGCTGACAACATGCAGAGTCTTCTGACCACTATAAGCAACTATGCAGGCATGTTCGGGATGCGATTCTCTCCCTCGAAGTGCAAAATGTTACTTCAGGATTGGGTTGCAGCGACACCTGAACTAATGATAGGGAGTGAAGTAGTTGAGCGTGTTGACCACTTCACTTATCTTGGGAGTCTCATCAGCCCTTGTGGTCTGGTATATGACGAAATCTCAGCACGGATACAGAAGGCTCGTCTAGCTTTCGCCAACTTGCGTCATTTATGGCGTAGGCGAGATATCCGTCTACTAAACAAAGGACGTGTTTACTGTGCAGCAGTTCGTTCCGTCCTACTTTATGGCAGTGAAACATGGCTGATAAGAGTAGAGGATATTCGTAGGCTACTAGTGTTCGATCATAGGTGTCTTCGAAGCATTGCTCGTATATCCTGGGACCACCGGGTAAGTAATGCAGTTGTTAGGAAACGAGTACTAGGTAGGTATGGCAAATCGATTGATGAAGTAGTGAAACTTCATCAGTTGAGATGGCTGGGACATGTGTTACGTATGCCCGACCACCGACTGCCCCGACGTGCAATGTTTCATGGTGTAGGAGTAGGTTGGAAGAAAGCTAGGGGTGGCCAGACCAAAACGTGGCACAAATCAATGAAGTCACTGACAAGTGGACTGGGCCATGTTGGTAGGTATAGACTACCTGGTTGGGATTCGCGAGATGACAGCAACCGATGGTTAGAGACCTTGAATGACATGGCTCAAAATCGTTTGCAATGGCGAAGGTGCATCCACTCTTTGTGTTCTACCAAATTCTAATCTTCTGAATTCCTCATGTCTTTATCTTTTTCTCTTTTCAGATTTATTTCACTGTACTATACTCCTTCAATAATTTCTTCAAACCCTAATCTTTTGGATTTCTGATTATACTCCTACTACTTCTACCACTATGGGATTTGAATCGACAACTGCATTTCAGTGCTAATGTGGTATGGCAACTCGAACTGATGTACGTACGTACGAAGTTCTACGTTGTGACTGACTGACTGAAACAAATCAAATGAGATTTGTGCGGCGCATATGTATTTGGTGCTTCCTTGTACCAATATTTATGTGTATAAATAAAATAGTCTCAAATATTTGGACTTGCTAATATACAGGATGGCTCTTAATAAATATGAACTACCAATGATTGCACTTACGCATGCTCAGCATGGCGAGAACCGTTACGGTAGTCCCGTCCACTATCTCGATTCGAATATGATATCATGTCGTAGGCCATTTAGGACTTGACTTTTAAAAGTTTAGCTGAGAAAAAAAGGAAAATTTGTTTTAAAATGTCAATGCATTAAACTAATTCACCAAAGCAATTAATCTAATTACCTAAGCAACTAACCCATAGATTAGTGTGTGTTAAGATTTTCGGGGAAAATACTATGAAAAGCAACGACGATTTCAGTTATTGAGGAACTTCGATAATTACTAAAGTGCAGTATACTTACTTCGCATAACTTTGATCAACAGCGACTCATTGTTTACCAACGGTTGTGGGACTTATTCTGACATTTACCTCATATTAAGTCTATTAACACTCATGCATTATTAATATATAATGGTAAATGTATTCATTCTTTAAATCTAATTTAAATTAGCTAAATCATCAGGTACTTGAATATGAGCCACTATGTGAGAGCAAATGATACTATTCGGTTAGCTAAACTGAGGTTGGTGGAGTGGAGTTTGAACCAGGAACTTAATGAGTAAAAGTCGAATCCCCTAACCACAAGACTACTGCTTCTGCATCCTGAAGTCCATTGAACTAGGATTTTGTATGAAACTGATTTCACATGGCTTAGGTAGTAGAAAGTGGAACTATTTACGTTCCTAACTCGATTGCAAGTGAAACACAAACTGGTAATTAAGCCGACGGACCAAAGTATGTCTACATGGGGATTACACGGTCATACAAAGGAAAATCTAAGGGAGGAAATGGGAAACCGAAACTGAGAGCGCATACGAAATAGCTGATGATAAAATACCACTAATTTGAAGTGTATATATCATTCATTCAAAATGCTGACAAACTCAACCAATTTAAGATAGCTTTCAACAGCAAGTGCCAAGCCTGATAAGATTTGCTCAAAGAGGAAACTATTGTGAAGAATAACTGTAAAGTGATCAAAACAACATTAACATCAACGTGTCAGATGTTGGGCCGCGAGGAACACCATCATGAGGAATAGATCTCTATCGAAACCGTAGACAAGATTCAAAAAAGGAGGAACAAGACAACAATTACCAATAGCCGAACAAGAGCAGAGAAAGTCATGGAACAAGTTGAACACAGAAACGAACAAGCAAGTGAAGAACAGCATTATAACTGACAAGGATAAATACGTGGAAGAGCTAACAACGACAGCGGATAAAGCTGCAAAAGGAGGGAATATGAAACAACTATATGACACGAAGAAACATTCTATTCGGGAATATTAGGGAGAAAGAACAATTGTCGCCGACAGACTGGAAAAAATACCTCATCAATATACCAAAGAAAGACCTGAGCAAATGTGAGAACTATACAGGCACCGCATTAGTCAGTACCAGGAAAGGTTTTTAACAGTGTTGCTGAACCGGATAAAAGACTCAATAGACGCTCAACTTTGAGATCAACAAGCTAGATTCCGTAAGGATCAGTCGTACCCAGACCAAATAGCGACAATACGGATCATTATTGAACAACCAATTGAATGGAACTCGTTACTATACATCAACTTCATTGACTACGAGAAAGCGTTCGAGTGCGGAACGGATGACCTCATGGAACCTTCTTCGACACTATGGTGTGAATTCATACGACGGACTACACTGCAAAGTGGTGAAAGGAACATAGTTGACAAACTCATTCCAAGTGGGGATCGGATTCAGACAGGACTGCTTACTGTCTCCCTTTCTTCTGACGTTTGACTGGATTATGAAGACATGCACATCGGGCGGGAACCACGGAGTAACATGGACAGCTTGTATGTAACTAGACGATCTGGCCTTCGCAGATGACCTGGCCCTTCTACCTCATGCACAAATGCAGGTGAGAACAGTCAATGTAGCAGCAGTCACTGCGTGGATAAGCCTCGACATACACAAGGGAAAAATCAAGATCCTCAAATACAACATGGAGAACATCAATCCAGTCACACTTGATGGAGAAACTCTGGAAGAGGTGGAAACTTTTACGTATCTGGAAAACAATATCGATGGGGGTGGAGGATCTAATGCAGACGTAAAGGCGATGACTGGCAAAAAAGGGCAGCATCCATACAGTCGAAGAACATATGGAACTCAAAACGACTGTCCACCAATATCAAAGTCAGAATCTTTAGTAAGAAGGTCAAGACAGTTCTACTGAAAGGAGCTCAAACGCCGAGTCACAACAACCATCATCAAAAAAGAACAAGTATTTGTAAACAATTGTCTAAGTAAGAAACTCAATGTTTGTTAGGTGGACACTATCAGCAACAACCCGTGGCTAAGAACAAACCAACTTCCAGTTGAGGAAATTAGAAAAAGACGCTGGGGTGATTAAGACATACACTGCAGAAGCCACCAAATTGGATCACGAATAAAGTCCCAAATTGGAATCCTGAATAAAAAGGGGGGAAAGAAGACTAAAGAACACAATGCATCGGGAATCGGAGACAAATATCAAAGGAATGAATGGCACTTGGCAAAAACTAGAAAGCGGAGCAAATGACGGAGTTGGTTTGAGAGTTCTGGTCGTCGTCATATGCTACACCACGAGGGATAACATGAGCAAGTAACCCAGTGAGCTTTCAATCCTGGTAATATATCACTAGTGAAATATACATACACGCGTAAGAAAAGCGTATAGCTTTAAGAGGCTAATTTCATACTACTCATAAATTTAAACTGTATTCATCAATACCTCTGTCGTATTGAAATTGACAAACTGATCCCTGTAGATACAGTGAACGAGTCATATGAATATTATGCACCACACTTTTCTGGGCAGAACTGGTGAACAATTTTTTTCCTGGATTACAAAACAACGTCTAAAAAACTAAACTAGACAGGTAGAAGTGATTGCTTCTAAACACACTAATTGCGAAACACAAAACTTACCCAACAAACGACCACCTATCTTCTCAGTCAAAAGTCGCGAATAATTCAGCTATTTGACCTACTCAAACACGTACAGGTGTTCCAATGTAAAATGAAATCATGAAGTAACCCTTCACACACAAATAATGAAAATTTGTTATTATGTTAGCTTACTGAAACCCTTTCACTTCTGACAGTGCATTCAAATAAATCTCATAGAACTAAGAATAATTCAAACCTTAAAGCAAATTGGATGGAAATTAAGACTTGGCATGGCAGCAATAATGAACTTTCCGTCCCTTGAGGTATATCTGCAAACAAAAGCAGAGATTTCTTGGTCATCGAGAAGCACATATTTATTCTGTTTTGAAGTGCAGAAACATTATTTAATAATGGGGGAATTGATTAAATATTAAAGCCTAGAGTAACTTTATAGCAACTCAGATACAATTGAGTTTGTTTACATCTAATTTAGTTAAGCCCTTTTGTTAACTTATTTAATGGACAGTTATTCATACAATAACAACCCATCTATACCATTGTACTTTTATTATATACGCTTGAACATTGCTTACTGTCTACCCATATATTCATTCCGCTAGCATTATTATTAATCGCTTATTTGATCCGATGATTCATGCTTTTCCACTTATATATATATACATTTTAATCGTGTTTACTACCTTGCCCTGCTTGCTCTCTGCTCTGCATTACGCTACACCGTACTGTACATGCTTACTCATTCATCCGGCTCTACGGCACTGCTTTTTCATGCTTGTTTGACGTACCTGTAATATTGGATAACTGTGTGTGGTTCAGTAATAAACGCGATCGACTCTTCGTATTCGTCTTCTGACTTATACATCGTTAGGACGTTGTCGAGTAACGGTTATCAAGACGAACAATATACGAAGCTTAGGGATAGTACCGAATATCGACCACCACAACTTCCCCCCAGTATCTTCGAAGCGAAAACAAGTGTTGAATCTCTCCTTAAATATCTTTTAAACGCAGTGAAGGCCAACCGATTTCCTTATAGTTATGTTTCGGCCCCGTGTGGTCGGACAGTTATACAGGAGAGTAGTTGCAGTGATTTAGTCCGAGCATTGCTTAGTTCCCCTAGATTGTCTTTCTCGCACCCATAACTTTTAATAATTTACTGTTACATAGAAATACGATGATGTCCTTGAACTTAAACAGCCATTTAGACCCCATTACGGTCTAGGAGTCGAATGTTTAGGGATCACCCACTCAATTAAATGAAGAAACATAACGGTACCGAACTATGCTTTCCAAATATTATAAAGCTTGTCCAATACCATAATAACTACGAAGAGAATAATATATGTGATATGGAAAAAAGGTTACATAGAGTAACCACACCTGGATGTCTGAGCCATTCCACACCGATAGTGTACCTGCATTCACAATTTCTGACCTTCTCTATGGTGTTAAATGCCGGATGTTAATATTTTCAATTATCGTAGTTTCGACTTCAGAGATCTTGTGATTGGAAACCCATACCACGACAGATTTTCCTCACCAATTATTCAGATCTTGAAACCCATGTTGACAATGTATAAGATTACAGCTGAAAACGTATGGGATGCCTTCGAACCTCAATCATCACAAATAACCCGTGTGTACACCATACCTGATGAAGAAATTGCACGGCAAATCCTTTGGCTTCCATTACTCATGGTCACTTCTCTACTCCTCAGCATGGTAAAGGACACGTAACACCTGCTCAGAGTGAATCAACCCCTTCAAATTTTCTAAGCACTCGTAACTCTGAGCTTGCTTAGATAAATACATTTGCGTTACATTAAGCGGGGTTATAACACAATCTCAAATATCAGCACGAGACTTCTTATCATCATGTCAAAGCTAGACTTATTTCTTTTTTTGTATTGAATATATTACTCTCTACCCAGAAAAAAGTGATCTTCATAAGTGTTAAACTCTATGTTGCTGATTGTCACGGTAGAGAAAGTTAGCGTAGGTGAAGATGTGACTTACATGTAATATCTTGTAAATTAGGTAAATACATCATGACAAATTTACCATCTTGATATTATGTCTATCATTGCAGTAGTGAACATAAATGTAATAATACCGATTTCGACAATAATTCCACACTTTCGTGAAACACAACTGTCAGGATTT